GTCCTTCCCAGACAGAGCAAATGTGACTCTGGGAATTTCATTCCATGTCTCAGCCACAAAAGATTTTGTGAAATCACTCTCAACCCACCTCATGCTCCATTTCTCATCCTCCAACCAGTTTCTACCTGAGCCTCGTGAAAAGTGAGCAGCAGCAGCAACTCCACAAACATTTTAAGAGGTCTGAGATTTTCTCTCAGCTCTCCTTCAACTGCAAGAGCTCTTTATTTCAGACTTGTCTCAGCCAGTCTATTCACTCTAAATATTGTAATAACCAGCTGAGGATTCGCAGCATGAAAGCAGTTTTGCCCTGGCATTAAAGCCAAAATGATTAATGTCCATATTTAGCGTTCATGGTAAACATTTTTCTCCTACTCTTAGAACAGGGAAGGATTTCAACCCATGCCAGGATTCGTTGTAACATCATTAAATGTGATGAATTACCCCGGCTTTCATGTGGATACAAAATGTAATTCCTTGGGAATTTCACTGTAGTTTAATGTTAATTTGTATTTACTCTGCTACAAACTCCCATTCCTTTTCAATCCTGCTTTTCTGCAGTTCCCCCAGGTTCTCCTGGGGAGTCACAAAGTGGAACATTTCATTTCTTTAATATTGCTTTCTTTCCATTTGTGTTTGTTGTTCTTTCACCCGCTCATTCATTCCTGTTAGAAATTAACTGGCAAAACCAACTTGTCCTTAGTGACGGCCATAAAATCCTCCCCTTCACTGGGGATACAAAACAACACCACCCCACAGGCTCCTCTCTCTTTTCCAGCTTCTCCCTCTAGATTTGTGATCCTCACTTTTGTAAATCTGCCCTGGATGAAGCACCCAAATTTCTCCAGCTCCAGCAGTTTTTTATGTGCCTTATATCCAAGCACTACAAATGACCAGTCTTAATTAAAGCTCTGAAAGTCAGGGAATTCCACAGACTGGCACCAGAAAACACCTCGTGTTCTCTGGGAAGAGTCACAACAAAAAAGGCATTCCTTCCTTCCTTCCTTCCTTCCTTCCTTCCTTCCTTCCTTCCTTCCTTCCTTCCTTCCTTCCTTCCTTCCTTCCTTCCTTCCTTCCTTC